TCAGTCGGCTAATCTGGTGGTAGCCACTGTGTGTGCGCTGAACCGTGAAGATCTCTAGGTCCCCGGTTCAATTCAAATCGCTGCCTCTCCTTGTGTTTCAGCTAGAGGGATGAAATACAAAGCTTCATTAGCGCACCGTCTTTCGGATGAGACGTTTAAGCCGTTGGTCCCGTGTGCATATATGGCCCATGTTCACGTTAAAGAACGCAGTACACTCTTCGGAAAAGCGGTAGGGGATTGTTTCCCGTTGTACTGCCCAATCACCACGAGAAGGACCTCACTGAAAATAACTCTTCTTATAGACTTTCGTTGGCTATCCTTGGTGTTTACGCCAAATAAATCCAATCCAATCAATGGATCAGGTTTTATCCCTCGGCCGACTGACGTACGACCGTCGTACGTCTCAGTAGTGCCTGGCTGGGACCCATAAATATACGACGGAAAATAAAATATTACTAATGTGTAGCCGGAGCTTACATACAGTTTTTTATTTTTCAAAAATGCCAAAATGAGTGATGGCTACGTTATCCAAGACTCATATAACAACAGTTCATTATTATCGTGTTTGTATATAAATTTACCGGATGAATAGCAATGACATATTGATCATCATGTGTTGTTTCTAATTCTCACCATTATTAGGGATACGAAAATAAAGAACATAACAGGAACTATTTATATTGAGAGCTGCTTTTATGGCAGGTAGTTTGAGGCGATATGTTAACCGATAAAACGGAAGAAAAAGCTTTCATTATTTAACGGTCTACTAAGATTGTACAATTCAAACAGCGACGCGGATTGTAGGTTGGATTTGACATGTAATATTACCAATTGAACGAATAAGCCCAGCGGAAAGGTGGTAGGACTCTATCAAAAATATATTCATATTCCCAGGACTTGGGTGGGTCCAGATGCCATCCAAAACCTCTCGTAGCGAGTCCAGCTGAGTGGAAAAATAGAAGCTCCAAAATTTAGGAATTCAACATGCTTAATGGATTTTAGAGCGTCATAATTTGTGAAAAAAAAATACATAGGATTTCCCCCCGGGTATTGTGCTTGTTTGTATTATATGACTATATAGTTAACCAAATTGCAATATCTGCATATCAAAAAGATTGAATCTTGCTCTTAAAATCAATCACAATGACAGAGCGGTACATCTTTGCACGAGATCAACAGGTTGAAAACCGGGCACTGACTGAGCCTGGCGGTCGTCAACCGACGCAATTCTGTGGAGAACACTGCGACTCCCGCGCAATCGTTTTTTGAGACTGTCACCGACAATACAAACAACAGCCGACGGCGTCATGTCGTCTAATAACGCCATACTCACAGGGAGCGTTGTTGAATTCGTCGGCCACGGTCGTAAATGACGCAGCGCCCGGCTGTATGTTATTGAATATTGAATTTATCTCGAACAAATTTAAGCTGTGAATTGTAAATGCTCAAAAGTAAGGTTACAACCTCTGGTACTAACTGGAGTCTAATCAAAATTTATAACATAAAAGAATGTATCGAGGACGTCAAACCCACGGTCTAAAAGGATAAGTTTGACATGACATGACATGGGGGAAAACAGGCTTATATGCTCATGACCTAGACCAGGACGCTAAACTGAAATATAGCCTAATTATAGACTACTAACTTGGTTGAGCCCAATAAATAAATAATTTTTCTTGAATGCTAGTATCTACATAAAATCAAAACCCATACTCCTGTTATAATACAAATGCATATTTACATTGTGAAAAAAAACACCGTAATAATAATAATAATAATAATAATAATAATAATAATAATAATAATTTGATATTTGTGTGTATGCTTTCAAGTTAGGCCTATAGCTTTTAAATGAAACAAGAAAAGAAGACGTGTTTCCCCTCTGTTAAGCGATGTAATTCGTAACCTTGATGTGATGTCATCCTGACCATTTAGGCATGTCATATGTTTTAAAATTTGAGTCTAGACAAAGTTACGGGAACCCCTTTAGTGCCACCAGCGAATTAAAACCTAAAAACCGTTAACTGGCGGCAGTTACATACGGTAACGGTTCTTAAATTTTAAGTCACTATTGGAATTATCGGGTTTCCGTAAAAAGCTTTAAATTTGATGAAAATATATTAATGGAATTTTCAACTGTAGACTAAATCATGACTGAAGTAGGGCCTAAGTAAAAATGTTTGAACTATGCATTGAAAGTTGAAAAACTTATATGATTCGGGGGTTATGTCAGTCGGTTAAACCTGTGGTAGCCAGTGTGTGTGCTGAACCGTGCAGATCCGATGAAGTCCGGTTCAGTACACATCGCTTTTCTCTTTGTGTTCCCGCTGGAGGGCAGGAATACGGCTACCGTCTTTAAGATAAAACTACGTACGACTCGTGTATATGGGCGGCCATTAGGGTCAAAATAGAAAACTCAACAAATAACGGACAATCTCAACAAACAAAGCACAAACGCAACAAAGGACAAACTCAACAAACAAAAGGCAAACTCAACAAACAACAGACAATCTCAACAAAGAAAGAAAAACTCAACAAACCAAGGACACACTCAACAAATTAAAGAAAAACTCAAAAAAATATTTTTTTCCAACGATACGACTTTATAACATCATGGTCCTTTATATTTGTGAACTGTATTTTTATCTATTTGGTTTATACATAATTTGTGCTGCCAGTATATATACTGTCTCTTATACACATCTAGATGTGTATAAGAGACAGACAATAACCTTTGAAGTTTAAGGTACCATATATAGTTCTTTAATGCACATCATGGATCTCAGACCTTCTCATCCTTGTAGGACGTGCTATCCCAAATGCTGACGTCAGTCACGTTAAAAGAATGACCTTGGCTACAGGAAGTTCACCTAGACGACCTTCAAGGCTTAATAGTTATGACGTATGTGTAATGTCCTCTTAGTTTCAATAGGGGTAATTAATATTATTGGTTTTTTTTTGTTTTTTTTTTAATAAAAAATGGAAAACCCGGCTTGCCGAGCCACGGTGACCATTGGGCTGGATCTTATCCCCAGTTTCAAGTAGCATGAAGCGCCAAATCGCCAAATCACCTCCACGTTTGACGGCTCATGTTATAATATGTAGGTTTACTTTAAGCCGGACACTCACTGCGTCGTAAGACGGTCATACGAAGAATCCACATTTGCTTCCGGCGAGCGACAGACGACGCAACGCCATCTGCTGATTGTCAGTAGCAAGCTGAACCTCATTAAAAAGACGATCCGTGCGTTCTTCGTCGCGTTGCCGTCGCGTGGCCGTTGCAATGAGTAACCGGCTTAACTGATAATAATGCACGAAGCCTTTGAGATTCCTCGGGTGTCAATCTCAGCTTCATCACATGAAATTAAGGTGGCATCTGCTGCCAGCGAAAACTCGACGTGCTGAATCAAATAAATCTTTAAAAACCTAGTGTCGGAGTGCTGCTTCTTGATTATGTGGTATCTTAGGTTAGGTGAGGAAAGCAAAATCAAATATAAAAATCCACAGCCACACGGTAATAGTCCATTGTCGAAGACCCTACGCCAGGGTTGGGCATAATATCGGTTGGAGGGCCAAAGAGAATTTTTTATTATTTAACACCGACTGCCGCACACAAATTTGATGTTTCCAGTATGCTTCCAAAAACCAGCATTGTTTTTACACCACTTTATTCCAAGCTTTGATATTACATTTACAGATGGTCGGTTTCGGGCCGTAAAAACATGGTGTTTTCTAGCCAATGTTGCTTGGCGGGCCGCAGACATAGGGCATGCGGCCCGCACTTTGGCCGCCTGATGTGCTGTAGGCCTATAACTTCCCACGCACGATGTTAAATAATTGTGTCTTAGTTATTGATAATAATCATTTGAATTTACTTCTATCTGAAATCACCTTTAGGGTATGTAGGCCTAGGCGCCTTGGGACGATTTTATTGTGAAAGGCGCTCTACAAATACTCCACCATACCATTAGAAATACCAGAACAATTCATATCACAATTGCAATAAAGTATATAAAAGACCTGTGGTAGTTGAATAGTGACAAACGAGCACCTTTCAATAGCTTTGCACTAGTTTTTTATGGGACGTCTGCAAACAATAAGCATTTACCCTTTTCAAAATGTCAACCCACATACTATAGTTCAATAGTGCTTCCCATAAAACAAAATCTACCTTTTGAAATTTTAAAATTTTACAAATCAATATAGCGTATAATTACTATGGGTATAGGCTTTCAAAATTCCATCCAATATTGTCGCTAAAAGTGTAAATGCATTATTCGATAGTTAACTACGCTTGTCACTTAACCATGACAAAATAGATTGTCGCTACACTCTCGCCATGCCATAGATATATAATCAATAGGTCTACAATATTAACCTACATTTCTCAATTATCTGTAGATCTAAATCCTGACTCACACTACGTCGTACGAGTCGAGAGTCGTATAACTGTCGGCCGACTTTGTGAGTACGTTACGACTGCGAGGCGTCGCCTGCTAATTGTCGGAGGTATGTCGGAGCGGATCGTAGATAAAAAAAACCCCGATCTGTTTGCACGCGCCTATTCGCATTGCTTTGCTCAACCGATGACCGTAGGTGCATTACGCTCCCGTCTTCAAAAATAAGCAGTTGAATTTATACTGTTAACACAATGATCGTTTTATTTAGACTTGTACATTTTCAGTATAAACTACTCTTCTTTCACACGGATCAAGTTTAAAAATATCACGTCGCATAATAAGGCTTCGAGAGTGGAGTAACCAAGATTGGAAGGCAGTCAACTTTTCCCTCAAGCTCCACTATGCCTGTTTTATATATTTTTTTGTTTTTTCGCATCTTTTCTAATAATGCTTTCTAGATACAGTATATGAGCATATTTGATTTTCACAAGTTTACACTTCACAGGAGTTCACGAGGTACATACTGCCATATTTGTTATCAAACAGTTTAGAAAGAAACTCTACTGATTCTTCGTTTCAAGAAATGGACACTCAAAAACATTGTGCTGGTGTATTTTAATACATTTCTTTTATCAAGTAAATAAAATAGATCATTAATTTTTATAGTTTCACAAATGTACAAACTCATTGTTTTCTCCTTTAAATATATATGCTTCAATGAATCTTAACACTCGGCTATTTTACAAAGGGAAAATATTTTAAACAATTTATAATTCAAAAATAGTTGTACTTGTTTGAAAAAAAAAAATGATGTTATGTTATGTCTTATAACACATATATATGTTGATTTTGTATCACGTGACATTGGTTATTTACATAATTTTGTCATTTATTATAAACATTAAGTTCTATCCGTTCCGCTCCATTGCACACTTCATCCTAATGCAACCTATTCATTGATGAATTGATAAATGCTATTAACGTATATCAGAATTTCAGAATCAGAATACCAATTATGCAGTGGATATTTGTCCGGTAGAACGCCTTCGCTTACACAACATTCTGTTCGTGACGCCTAGTGAGGGCGCATTATACATCCCAAAACACACAAAGGTAATATCGGGTTATAGTAGGCAAATATACACTTCATATTAATTCTACAGAGTCATCAATGCAGAAACTTCAATTTGAAATGACATTTTCTATTGGGAGTGTAAATAAGAGTGCAGGTTAAATAGGGGTTTTTTTCAGATTCCTATAAAGGTTTATCATAGAGATTGACCAAAAAAATAATGTTGCTACCGTAAAAAGGTCGCAAAATCCAGCAAATCTCTTCATCCACTTTATCAATGATCTATTGGCCTAGAGCTTGGTTTAGTTGTAAAAATATAACTTTTTAATTAAAAAAAATTAAAACATTGATACAATCGGCCATTAACCTCTCTGACAAAACAGGTAGAATGTGGCAATATTATTCAACATAAAACTTGATAACACGTTCTTAACAATGGGTAACTATAAAAATCCCGAATAAAATGGCTACCTTCCATTGGGATCGATTAGGGTCTATAGGCTTACACCAATTGTGAGTTTAACTTATAGTAGGCCTAGTAACTGTAAGAGAACTATCAAGTAACGTTATATACCATGGATATAATATTGTCACTGAAGTAACACGTTATTGCGATAATATATATGTTTAATGTAATAACTTAGGTAACATGGGCCTATACTGTAGTAAATTTGACAGATGAGTGTGCTAGAAATATTATCTTTGGTTATATGATTAATTATTTTTGGCGTCAAAACCTTGGTTAACCTCGCCCTCAGGAGTTTGTGTTTCGTTCGATGATTTGCGATATATACCGTTGCCTTCAGACTCAATTAACCCTGGAAGAAAAGGAAAATTGCATAAAACTACAAATCACAAACGTTGATTTTCACAACATTTTATAATCAGTGGCGGCGATACGGGGGTGGACGGGCTAGACGACGGGGAAGGGAACGGCGAGAAAGACCACAATTCGTAGGGGAGAAAACAAAATTATATTTTTCTACATATTTATAGACTCTAAAATCGATTAAATAAGCCATTGAAACCCCTAAATTGTCATATTTGTGGGGGGGGGGGAGGAGCTTCCCCTCCTGGGCTACTTTATAAAAATGTTGAGCAAAGCCCGACAACTCCCACTTTGTTCTCTTCGGGGATATCAGCCTTCCTCCCCGTCGTGACCTTTGGATTCCCTTCGGGCAAATCTTGGCACTCCCCTGTTTATAATAATAGGCCTATTAGTAACAATAATAATATTGATAATATCAATAATAACAGCAACAGCAACAGCAACGAAGCAACAACCCCTAAATCAAGGCAACAGCAAAGCTTCCGACTCTACTTACTTGTTGGTGCCTTTAGTTTTTCATCCTGGTATTGGATATACATTTCAGTTTCTCTTGCAGTGACCGTGTAGAGTGACGCCGACAATACAAAAATGGACAGTAGACAGAAGACAAACAGAGCAGCAAGTCCAAATTTGTAACCATTTAGAGAATCATTCAATGAGCCGATTTGCTTTTCCCATTCCGGTATTTCATCTATAAAAATTATTACACGTTAATTAAAGACAAAACATCGTGACAAAATGGACAATTCCTTTAAGATCCAACCCTTATGTAGATGTTGTTGTTAAGATCCCACAAAACGAAAGCGTAAAATTTAAAAAATGTAAGAACTTAGTTAAAAAAACCGAAGTACTAGGAATTTTAATGATATTAACCAAGTATACCAATTTTTTCGTGTTTACTATCATATTGAGATACACC